GGGGGTACCACGGGAGATCACTGGCGAGCAGACAGAATGTGAATATGACCACACAAGGGAGCGTGTGTGCGAGGCGGGGCAGATGGGGGGGTGGTTGCCTGGCTGGCGGGCAAAGATGTAAATTAGAGCGGGCGAGCACAGCCACCGACCAAGACGCGCCAGCCCCCTGCCGGTGAAGGCCCCCCCCCCCCCCCCGCTCCGCCCAACATCGAGACAAAAAATGAGCGGGGACACAGCGGACCAGAGGGCCGGAAACTGGCTGAGATTGTTATGATGAGGGCGGGGAATCACCTGATGGACAACGTGACGCGCTTGTGCGCCAACGTGATACACTGGTTGTATATTTATTCATCTCCGTCGGCAGTTCGGGCCGGGCGAGATACGACACGGGGTTGGGGGCTGGCTCGGGGGATTTTTTTCGCTCGCTTTTTCCGGTTGCCCTGCCCTGTTCGGCCCCCCTCCCTCGCAGGCGAGGGTGGGGGATCCGGAGCAGCGGCACGGGAAAAGCGAACACGGCGGGGGAGCTTTCTTCTAGTGCTTGCTGATGTCAAAGAAGCAGCTACCCAGGACAAGGACAAGAGCAACGCGAACGGGCTGGAGGCGGTCAAGAGCGGCACCATCAACGGGGGGGGCGGGGCCGCGGCGGGCCCCATGCGGCGCGCCGGCCGCCGGGCCGGTCGGCGGCTGCCGGGCCATGAACTGCACGATGGTGGCCAGCTGGTCGAGCTGGGCAAGCATCTTGCTGGCCAGCTCGTGGGCCACAAGATCCGGGGAATCTGGCCAGAAAGGGGGCGAGGAAAGGGCACAGGGGCCACCAGTGACAACATGGTGTGAGCAACTGTGCGCCCGGAGAATGGCCAACCGCCACACCGGACAGGAGGGGACCGGGGGGGGGGGGGGGGGGGGGGGGGAGGGGGGCAAGGCAGGAGGCGTGGGCAACGATGGTGGGCGCACCGCGGATCAACGGCAAGGCTGTCTCAAAGACCAGCGGCCAGATGTGCGTCGAGGGGGAGAAGACCGACAACTCGGCCGGACGCATGAAGATGCTACGCAGGGTGTGCACTGCCCCCGGGAGATCGCCCTGCTCGAAGCGCTGGCGGAGGTGGCAGAAGTGCACGAAGAGCTGCAGATCAGGCAAGACCGGCCCCGAGCGGAGAGCCTGGCTTTGCAGGACAATCTCAATCTGCTCGGCGAACCCCTGCAGCAGGGCAAGGGTCTCTGCACGGGCCGAAAAAGGAAGGAACGAGGAGAGCCGGAGCCGGGGAGAAGGGTCAACACCGGAGACAAGGGACGAGGCGCGCAAGGGGGGCAAGAAAAAAAAAAGCAACCGCCTTCCAAAAGGCATCGGAGAGCCGAAGCAACCGGCGGGCCGGGCGCACGCACCTGGGGATGGAGTGCCGACGAGGCGCTGGCACAGCCAGGAGAGAACCCGGCGCGACCCCTCGACCGGGTCGCTGGTCAGCAAGTAATAGTGCAGGGCCTTGACCGGGGCCCCGGTGGACAGGGCTCGCCGAGCCAGGACCGAGTACACGTCCGACACGCAGTCCGTCAGCTGCAGCATCTCGCACACGTCGACCACGCGGGCAACCTGCTCATCGGTGCCCAGCGGCAGGCGCAAGATGAGCGCCTCCAACATGGCGGCCCCGGGCGGCCCGCACGAGGACAAGTAGTCCACGCCCAGGCGCCAAAGGTTGTGCTGCTCCATGAGCGCCGTGCCGTATGGGGCCAGGAAATGCAGGCGAATATCGGCGCTTGACGGCCCGGCTGGCACATCGTTGGCCCTGGGACGATTGGGGCCCAGAACGAGGGTTAGATCCAAACCGAGCTGTGATGTCTGTGTGTGTGTGTGTGTGTGTGTGTGTGTGTGTGTGTGTGTGTGCCGGCCGGTGGGGTGGACGCAGCGGAACGCACTGGACGAGGAGCTCGCTTTCCAGGGAGCCGGAATGGAAGAGCAAGTCCGTCAGGTGGGCCGAAAGCCAGGGATCAAGCTCGGAGCAGAAGCGGAGAGCCTACCCCAGGCGAGACAGAGGCCAGGCGGGGGGCGGGGGGCAGGGGAGGGGGGGGGAGAGAGAACAGTGAAGTGGGAGAGGCGTGAGTGGAGAAAGCGTCGAAGGAGGAAGATACGGCAGAGGGACACACGCACCGAGGTCAGGTGCATGCGAAGGAGGCTGATCTCAATCTGGTCGGCCAGGGGAAGCCCGCCAGTGGAGAGCTGGAGGGCAGTGAAAAGATGCCTGCCAGAAAAGCAAAACCGCGAAGGGGGCGCAACAGGGCGAAGGGGGAACCAGAGCGGAAGGTGTGAGTCGGCATGGCGCGCAGGGAGTGATGAGTGGTGTACACACGGTACGCACCCGACCTCGATGTGATTGGACAGGCTAAGCTCCGGTGTGTAGCACAGGGTGCTGGTCAGGAGATCGAACCAGCGGGCCCCGGTCAGCCGGAAGATGACGTGCGCATCGCCCTGCATCATACGCAGGACCGGGCCGAGGTCCGGGTCGGCCAAAATCGGCTGGCTGGTGCACTTTTGCAGGGTGCCAAGCCATTGATTGTAGGCGCGCGAGCGCAGATGCGCGATCGGGCCATTCCCGGCGCCGGGCTCCGGCATCGGGCAGGCGAGAAGCAGCTGAATTGCCAGGCGAGGGGTTAGACAAGGAAAGGAAGGGGAGAGGGTCGCGAAGGGGGTTCCGGGAGGGCCAGGCAACGGGCGTCCTCTCAGCATGATCGTACAGTGCGGAAGGCATGCGCGCCCGGGGAGTTGACGTGGGAGAGGACCTGCGCGGCGAAGTGAATCTGTCCGCGGCAGATGAGGCTGGTCCCCGGTTATGGGAGGGGGAGGGGACGGGGCAGAAGAAAAAAGAGACAGAGAGAAAGAGCGCGCGTGCGCGAGAGCGAGAGATGAGTTTGGGGCCGGGCACCGGCAGCAGAGAGACGAGTGGAGAAAGACACACCTGAGGAAGAGGATGATGAGACTCTCCTGGGAAAGGGACTTCGGGGCCTGCAGGAAGCGGCGCTCCTCCGGGACTGGGTCCAGTCGCGTGTCAGTTGAGAAGAAGCGCGGGCGAAGGGGCTGCACGAGCAGCGGCACAGGCATTGGGAGTGAGGCCTCTTCGGGGGAGGAGGGGCGGCCACGCACGAGCCTTGGAAAAGCGCGACCAGTGCAGGATGATGTCGATCATGTCGGAGGAAGACGAGCCGATATACAGCAACTCGGCCAGCAGCCAGATGGAGTGGACATCACGCAGGTGGGCCACAGCCGTGCCGATCTCGGTGGCGCGCGGTCCGATGGTCATCCGGTCGGCCGGGCCCCCCCGGGACAGCTCCTCATCTAGGAGCCCCTGCAGGTGGACACACTGCTGCTCCAGCGATGCCCGATAGCTGGAGGACACCTGGAAAAGGATGCGCAGAGCCACATCCTGGGCCGGGCTACTCCAAGCAGCCGGGGAGGAGGAGAGTGGGGCGGCATCGGCAGCGGGGGCGAGGGGGACCAAAAGGGGTGTTAGATCAGCTCCAGTCGCCAGTGAAGCAGAGCTCACGATGAGGATGGGCGCAGGGGAGGAAACGAAGACAGCGTACATGTCCGCGGCCGGGCGCGAGCGGAAGATGTTCGTGAGGAGCTGGATGTTGGTGGCATCGGCGGCCGGGAGGGTCGGAGACGAGAGGGCTGACGAGGACGACGACGACAGGGCATCGACATTCGGCGAGCCAGGGGCCGTGTCCGGAGCCGAGGAGCAGCTGATCAGCTTGGCCGAGGTGGCCAGCGACCGGACGGCCAGGTCCGACAGGGTGGTCAGCATGGCCCCGGAATTGACGGCCTCCATGAGGCGCTGCAGCAGGGAGAACACCGTGTACGACTGGATGAGCAGCGGACGAAGGTCAGCTGCCAGGAAACCCGGCCGCGCGGCCATCAACTGAATCCCGGCCGCGGCGGTCGGCGAGAATGCCGGCTCCCGGGACATCGACCCGGCCTTTTGCGACACCTGGCTCAGGAGTGAGGCCGTGGCAGAAATGTGCCCGCCAGCGTTGGCGCCGCCATCGCTCGAGGCGAGGGCCTTCGCCTCGCCCGCGACAGACGGCCGCTCGGATCCGGTGAAAAGGGCAAAGCTGCGGTCACCACACCAGGCCAGGCCGAGCGCGGCACCAGCCGCACCGGCCGGCAGCTCCACGTCCACATTGGTGGCCGCTTTGACGGATAGGAGGGGGAAAGTAGGGGGGGAGGAGGGATGGCCACGATAGAGAGAGAGAGAGAGAGAGAGAGAGAGAGAAGGGTCAGGACTGTCAGAACGACACCACAGAGGGAGGAGGGGGTGGACAGAGGCAAAGGAGGCACCGCGCACCAGTGTGAGAGGAGTAAGACCGGAACATGGCATTGGGGAGAGGGTTGGCTGGGTACCCACCGGCAGGGGTGGAGTCCTCGGAGGCCGCGTCCCCGCCCCGCAGCAGGGCGGAGATGGCCCTGGTCGAGCGGGAGACGGTGCTGGAGGAGGTGGCGGACATCCTGGGGCGGGCCGGCGTCGCGTTCAGGGGGCGGAAGAGAGGAAGAGAGCAAAGACCAGGGAGAACCGAGAGGGCGACGAGGATACGGGGGCAAGTGGGGAGGGGGGGGGGAGAGAGAGAGAGAACAGGGAGGTGCTACTGGGAATCCGCCTTGCGAGCCAGGCCACTTGCCCCCGTGAAAAGGCTCAGCCTCATGTACGCCGGGACGCGCGCAGCCCACACCGCCTGCCGGCGCAAGTCTCTAGGACAGGGGCAGCGATGCGCGATCCATCGCTGTTTCCGTCCCCGGCCCCGCCGTTGCCCCCTGCCTCAGGGCGCGTGTGCGCACGAACACACGCCCAAGAAAACGCCGTCGCATGCGTCGGCACTTGGGTGAGTGTGTGCCCGCCGGAGAACATGTGCCAACGGGGGCGCATCAACGAAAGACCCCGGAGCAAAGGCCACACACGGCGAGGACCGGGGAGAGCAGTCTATTCAGGCAAGGAGCAGGCAGGGGGGTGGGGGAGAGGGGAGGTAGATGGCATTCCCTGCCTACAGGGAGGGGAGAGAGGAGGGAGAGGGACGCTTACGACGGTTGCCGCCGCCGCCGCCGCCGCCGCCGCCGCCGCCGCCGCCGCCGCGCGGACCCGGTCCATGGCGCTCGCCGGGGCCGCGGGGGTGAGCAGGGTGCGACTGACGGCGGCGGCGGTTCTGCCGGAAGAAGTCCTCAAGCCCGGCGAAGCGCTGGACATCCAGCGGGTCATACTCGGCCATGTCCGGGAAGGAAGCCGGATGCCGGCCGCGCGGCCAGAAGAAGGGACAGATCATGCTCGGGGGGTAGAGCGAGGGGGCATGGCGGAAGAGGGCGGGGTGCCAGGACACACGGCCGGAGGGGAAGCGCGGGAAGGGGGCCATGTCGGCGCCGGGGTTCGAGACCTGGGTGATCCCACCGGTGGCGGCATTCAAGGCCCCCAGGCACCAGGGCGCACAGACGGCAAAGAAGCCGGTTTGGTGCTCCAGCGGTCCGGCCGTCTCGCCGGCTCGACGGTGGTAGGTGATCGGCACGCCGGTCGCATCAGTGGCCAGCCCATGGTTGGCAGTGATGATGGCCGCCCCGGCGCAGGTGTCCCACAAGGACAAGCCCCCGGATGAGGGGTGGATGTATGCATCGGCCGTTTGCTCGAGGATGTTGATGAACTTGAAGCCGGCCCCCGGTACCCGGAGCAAGGACACGGACAAGTTCGACTGGTCGGGGGTGGTGGCCGTGGTCGGCGGGGGGGACATCAGCCGGCCCCCGGTGCCGTCGCCATTCAGCGGAACGGGCACCGAGCAAAGGAAGGACGCCAGGTTGAGGGTGGGTCCAATCCGGTCGGGATTGGCGGAGTTTGTCATGGCCAGGGCGATGGACGGGTCGCGGCTGCCGCCGCGGGAGCGATGCGAGTATGCCGGGGCCGGGCGCTGGCGCCGAGCAAAGCCGCCCCCAGCTGGCGGGACCCCGACGAGTCCGACATACGAACGCATGCTGATGTTGCATGGGAAAGGGGGGGGGGGGGGGAGAGAGGGGCGGGCGGCAGGGAGGGAGGGAGGGAGGGGAAAAAGACAGGGTCAACAAGGGGACGGTCGGAGGACGGCAGAAGGGCAGACCGGAAACCGGCCGAACGCACGGCCCGAAAGGCTGACACAGGATACCCAGCGTGGCATGACCATTGACCGAGGCGCCGACCATGACCGTGACCGCGTGAATTTCGCTCAGGTTGCGCGAGGCAAAGGTACTCGTGGCATCCAGCGGATCGATGAACACCAACTTTGGTTGAAAAGGACAGGAGGCGAGGGCGGGGGGGGGGGCACAACAGCGAGTGCGCCAACGGTCAGTGTACCGGACCGCCTGTGCGCCTGTGTGCATGTGTGCATGTGTGTGTGGGGGGGGGAGGGAAGGAGGCACACGCGCGTGGACGTACAATATCCCTGGCCGGGGCCGTGTGCCAGGGACCGAGGCGGGCCACCCGGTGGACAGTGCTCGCATCGCCGGGTGCCTCGTCCGAGGGCGCCTGGCGCCGGCCATACACCACGCGCCCCGGCCGGGCCGCCTTGTGGAAGGTACGGAAGGCATGGTCGGCCTCCAGGAATAGGTGATCCAGGTCCAGGCGCTCGGCGGCGGTGGCCCCGGCGAAAGGACTGTCGAAGGGCAGATCCAGGAAGGCATCGGCCGTCAGAGGGCGGAAGACCGGCGTGTAGGCGTCCATGTGCTGGATGTGCTCGGCCCCGCCGAGGCGCACTGCCCAGCGCACCAGGCGCCGGATTTGCCCGAGAAGTGGCGTGTCGGCCGTGCGCGGACCGCCCGGCATCTCCGGCTCCGCGTCCATGTCCGGGGAGGAGGAGGCACGCGGGGTGGCATCTCCGGGCGGAATGGCCGGGGCATAGTCCTCCGAATCGTCATCCGAGTCGGCGCCCAGCGAATAGCCGTCCTCCTCGCCGACGAGCTGCAGCTCGGGGAAGTTGCGCCGGAGGAGGCGCTCAATCACGGACTGCGAGGCGAGGTCGGCCAATGTTTGTGGCGTCTGGTCGGCCTTCAGCCGGCCATCGCAGGGGATATTCTGGGACAGGACCCGGATGACCGCGGCCGCGAGGGCGCCCGCCCGAAGCATGACGCTGGCCAGGGCCGGCAGGGCCACCATGTCGGAAGGCAGCGGCGGCAGCGGGCCACAGGTGGAAGCAGTGCTGTCGGTGTCCTGCGACGGTGCGCCGGCCTCCAGAGTCGGCGTCCGGCCGGACAGCTCCGGCGTGCAACTGGCCCGGTCGGCGGGAGCCGCCGCACGCTGGTGCATCGGCCGCGAGGACGACTTCCTTTTCGGGTGTGCGGCGAGCGACATCAAGGGAGAGCGAGCGGCGACCGTGGGGATCGCGGTGGCAGGACCGGCGCAGCGGAGGGTCGGAAGGGGGGAGGAGAGTCGCCTCGCCAGGTGGGCGAGCATCCGACGGCCGGGGCGGGGGGAAGGGAGGGGACGGGGGATGGGGGGAGCGTCTTGAAGAGAGGCAGGGAAGCGGAGGCAGCGGGCACAGGAAAGGAAGATGGATGAAACCGGCGTCGATGTCCTCTCCGGGCGAGAGGGGCCGCGCCTCCCGGCGCAATCCGGCCTCATAAAGCGGCGATCTTGGCCGGTCCCCCCCCCCCCCCCCGAGCCCGATGGTCAGACTATCGTGGAAGGGGGCACAGGAGCAGCGAAAGGAAGGCCCCGGCCCCCTTGCCGACCTTCGCCCATACAAATAGGTGGGGCACCAGGTCCAACTTCGCCGGCCTCCGGCGGCTGTGGTTCTTTCGGCTCAGGTTGGCCTGCCGGCCGGGGCGGAGATCGGGCGCTCCCCGGCTCGGGGAATGGAGGGCATCTGACCGCGGAGCAGGTGATATACATTGGTCACCGGGCTGTGCTGCGCTCCTGGGGCAGGGTTGGCGCCCCGCGCCGGCAGAGTCGCACCGCGCCAGGGCGCGCCACACGCGCATATACAAAGACACACGCACACGCGTGTGTGTGTGGTGCGCGTGCGTGCGTGGTCTGCCTGTGTAGGGGGCCCGGCGGTCGCCCCAGGCTCAGCAAATGTGTCCGTTGGCAGCGCCCCAACCCGGACTCATGGGCAGGCGCAGTCGGGGCCAGACGCGTGCGCGCGCGGGGCGGGGCGGGGGGGGGGGGGGGGAGCGGGGCCCCCAGAACAGGGCTGTTGTTTTTCCACGGGGTGCAAGAGGGCGCCCGACGAACCCACTCATGCGGCAACTCACCTGGGGCAGCCGCCCCGGGCGCTTGCCGGCGGCCAGGGGGCCGGGAAACAATAACACACGCCCCCCCCCGCCCCCCCGGCCTGGCCCTCGGGGAGTGCGTCTCCCCAAGGGCGCGAGGGGCGCGCATATACAAAGACACACGCACGGGGGTGTGTGCGTGGTGGGGGTGCCTGGTTGCCCGGAAGCCCACCCCCCGGGCCAACCAACTGAGACGGCCGCGGACAAAGAGGGCGAACATGAGTCGAAGGAAAGGCTGCATGGGTGGCGGGAGGGGACAGACCCCAGCGCGCGCGGGGGGGGGGGGGGGGGGGGGGGGACAGAGGCCCGGGGCGAGCCCTGGCGAATGAGGCGCGAGGGTTGGTCGAGGGGAGGGGGGGCGGCGATCTTGGCCACGCCGGCCGGGCAGGAGGGGAGGGATCTCATCAGTCCACGCATCAGCATATGGCCGTATTTTCAGAAGAAAAATCCCCGGGGGCCATTGTTATTGTTGGGGGGCCGACGAACACCGAGCGGGTGGTCGCCGGTGGGGGAGGGGCCGGTTGACTGGAACAAACGACGCAAGACCCGGGAAAAGCCCGGCACTTTTTAAAGGCCGCATTATCCGGGGATATGTCCGTCAAACACCGGTTCACCCACCCGCCCAAAAGGCCCTTGCGCCGATGTCGGGGCATCTGAACCGACCACGGGGCGGGATGGTGGGGAAGGCATCGGGAGGGGGGGGCGGGGGGTCCAGCCCAGGACGAAAGTTGTCTCTCGCCCCCCCCCCCTGTCCCCGCTCAGGTGTGGACTGGCCAGGGACCTGAAGGTAACTCGTCAGACGATGTTTTGGTGGGTCGTCTCCGCCTCCACCTGGAACATGTCTCGTTGAAGTGCCGGCTCCCCGGGGCGCTCTGGTGGGCGTCGGGCCCGGACACTGTTCCTCCTTGTCTTTCTCCATCTATCTACCCATCGCTCTCCCCTCCCCTGTCGCCCCACTTGTCCCTCCTTCTCGCTGTCTGATTTCCCCTTCTTTCCCCTCTTTGGTGGTCCTCGCGATACTCATTGTGCGTCGGTCTGCGTTGAGCCGCTCTCCTTTCCCCGCTCCCCCCGCGCCCCTCCTGGCGGCGACTGACCCGGCCTCGCCTCCGTCCATGGCCATGATTTCCCCGCCCCGGCTCATCTCCCCCCCCCCCGCCCGTCGAAGCCCCGTCCCCGGACCCCGTATCGGCGGACGGAGACTGCTAGACAGCTCGCAAAATCGCCCGCATCTTCCCGGACTCCGAAGACCCGCTGGCCCTCGCGGTGGCGTCCTCCCCCGAGTCACCAATGGCCGATGGCCCCCTCTCGACCGGGGGACTCCTGTCCCCGGCCTCCGGCGATGTGACCACCTCGCCGAGCAGCCAGCCATCTGATACTGGCGCCTCGCCGGATTTCGCCTCCAGCAGCATGCCCGATGGCCCGGAACTGCGCCGGCGCACCAACACCACCGGCCCCGGTGCCGCTGACTCGAGCCCGGCCATCGAGTCGGCCAAGGCCTCGGCCAGCCCGGATCCCCCGGCGGCCATTGTCCCCTCCGAGGAGGCGATGTCCCAAGCCCGGGCCGAGCTGCGTCGCCGGCGTCACCGCCAGCAAACTGCCCTCGAGTGGACTTGGCAGATTTCCATGTGTATTGGTGCGTCAACTGCCCCCGTCCGTGCCTCCCCCCCCCCTCCCTCCACATCCCGAGGGACCGGGCCACGCGTGCTTGCCCCGTCCCTGTTCCACCCCCGCTCCGCCCCCGCTCCGCCCCCGCTCCGCCCCCGCTCCGCCCCCGCTCCACCCCCGCTCCGCCCCCACTCCGCCCCCGCTCCGCCCTGCCCACATCCACCCATGCGGTTCTTTGACACCCGGTTCCCCACGTCCGGCAGCCGTCTTCCTCCGATACAGCATCATGTCACTCAGCTACCTGCTGATCCTCTTCGTCCATCTGTTTGCCCTGCCCCCACGGCGGCAGAAGGGTCTTGTCATCTTCACCATTGCTCTCAGCTCGGTCTTCGTCCTGCTGCACTTGATCTTCCAGCTGATCTACCTGCTGGCCCCGCTGACCCTCTGGCCGCCGGACTCGGCGGCCTATGAGTGGCTGGTGTTCTTCGGTCTGTCGCGCATCGGCTCCGCGTCGGATGCCGTGCGCCTGCTGCTGCCCGACCCGCTGGTTCTCATCATCAGCGGCTTCTGCTGGTATCGTCGGGTCTTCCGCCGGCGGACCCCCCCGCAGCGCATGTCGCGCTTCCAATTCCTCCTGCTGCCCGAGGACCAGGCCACCGAGCATGCCCTTCGTGCATCGCGCCGGATCGCCGAGCTGGCCATCGCCCAGCGCCTGGCCGCTCGCGACCCCTCCCTCCGGCCCCTGTCGCCGGCCAAGGCGGCCGACCTGCGCAAGCGCCAATTCCTTCGGGGCCTGTCATCGGCCTACCTGCTGGCCACCTTCTGCCTGCTGGGGACCCTGGCCATGGCTTTGCCCTCCATCGTGTCGCTGTTGTACTTTACCTGGGCCCTGGGGGCGGTGCTTTGCTGGACCCTGCTGGTGCCGGTGCGCTTCCGCCTGGCCAGCATGGTGAAGATGGTCCTGCTCTTGGTGCTCGGCTGTCATACCATCCTGTCCTACATCTACCAGTTGACCCCGGTCCATGAGAACTTCCCGACCCTGGTGGCGGATCTCTTTGGCCTGGTGCAGCTCTTCAACGGCGGGTCGACCCCCTGGACGGCGTACCTGGCCCAGGTGGTCCTGATCGTCTCGGTGCTGGCCATGCGCCGGCATCTGCGCATCAAGTCCCTGTTGTTCTCGCGCTATGGCATCCGCGAAAGCATCCCCTTCCGGCGCTTCGCCATGGCCAATGATTTTGGCTCTCCCAATGGCCGGGGGTCTGCCTCGGATTCCGGCCCACCCCCGGGCGAGCTTGCTGCCACTGCTGCTGGTGTTGCCTCGCCGCGCCCCCGGTCGCAGTCCTTCCACCAGTCGTCCGTCCGGCTGGCCCCCGCATCCGGTGATGCCGCCCCCGGGCCCTTCCTCCCCCGGGCGTCCATTAGCTCGCCCTCGGCCGCGTCGATTTACGACCCGCGTGTGTCGGGCCCCGGGGCCGGCGTCGGCGCTTCCGCCGGTGTCTCGGCCGCCACCAGTGCCCCGGATCTGGGCGCCACCTCCCTCGCCATCAGCCCCAGCGGGTCCCTGGCAGCGGCGGACATGCTCGGCTACAACCAGACCCAGTCCCTTGGGCAGATGGTCCTCCGGCATTTGGCCCTCCTGACGCCGCTGGTCCTGCTGGTGTGGGTGGTGTCCTTCCCGACATACATCAACTTGGGCTTCCTCCTGTGGGCTCTGGCGGCCATGCTTTGCCGCTCGGCCCCGAGTCAACTGCTCTTTGTGCTGCGGTCGCGCCGGCTCCTGCTCCTGGCGGAGGTGGCCCACCTGCTGACCATCTTCCTCTTCAACATCCGCGGCTTGCCCCTCCCCTCGCTGCCGGAATTCGGCCTGGACCTGTTTGATGTGCCGATCGCCGTGCTCGGCCCGCAGCTGCTCCTGCTGGCCCTTGCCTGTGTATTGCTGTTCCCCTGGCGCCGGTATGGCCTCCAGGCGCTGGTGCCGACCGGTGGGTCCACCTCGGCCAGCTGCCCCACCACCTCGGCGCACCTCTTGTCCCTGGACCATTCGCCCTGCCTGGCTGGGTATGACGGGCGCCTGGCCCTGATGGACATGCGCACGGAGCTGCTCCTTCAGCATGGCCTGCCGTCGGTTGTCTCCTCTTTGGCCACCGACCGGGACCCCTCGGCCGGGGCCGGCATTCCCGATGACCTGGCCGAGTACATCTCCCCGCCGGCCTCCCCGCCGCGCACTCGGAGCAACACCCTCGATGGCCCCTCGGCTCCGGATCAGCCGCTACTGGCCACCCTTTCCGACCCGTACATGGAGTTTGACTTCATGTCGGAGCTGTCCCTCACGACTCGGGCGTCAGGAGGCCCCTCTACCGCGCCTTCATTGGCCCTGCCCTCGGCCGTCGCCGTGGCCACCCCCTTCACCCCGCCGCCTCAGCGCACCTTCCCCCCGGAGAAGCTTGGCGGCATGCGCGGTGTCTTCCTCTTCATGGGCGTTTGCTTCCGGTATGTTCACACTGTTGCCCTCCCTCCTCTCTGTCCTCTCTCTCTCTCTCTCTCTCTCTCTCTCTCTCGAGATTGGCCGGCCTTCCTCGGTTGCTGTCCATGTGTCGCTGACATTTGTATCTCGCGATCGCGCGCTTCCCCCCCCTCCCCCCCCCCTCTCCAAGCCTCCTGCTGCGCATGTTCATCGAGAACCTGTACATTCCCACCCTCTTCGTCATTTACATGTGCAGTCTGATGAAGGTCAACGTCTTCAACTCCATCTTCCTGGTCTTCTTCCTGGCCTTCCTGTCGCGCAAGGACCTGGCCGTTCGGTACTGGACCCTGCTGGTGCTGTATACGGCCATCGTGTCGAGTGCCCAATATCTGTGGCAGTTCAGCTGGAAGGACGCGTTTGTCCCGCTGGACCCGGTCACCGGCCAGCCCCCGGCCTGGGTGATCATCCTCGGGTTTGAGGATTACCACGGAGATCTGTGGGTTGGGCTCGGCCTGCACATTGGCATTCAGGCCATTTGTTGGCTGCAGCAGACCACCTTCGGGTATGTGAGCAACTCCCCGCAGCCGGACTGGCGGGCGTTCTTCCCGGCGACGCTGCCGCCGGCGGCCGACAAGCCGGCCGACGCCCCGCGGAAGTCCTGCTGGCAGTATGCCTTCCTGGCCGAGGTGAACCTCCTGTGGCGCATGGCCCAGTCGGTCACCCGTCGCCGCATGCGCCTCGTGTGCTATGTCCTCTTCCTGGTGAGCTCCCTCAGCTCGCGGCCCTCGGCCAGCCTGATGGATCTCGGCTACCTGATTGTCTTCTACCTGTGCACCTCGTTGGCCTTCTTCGGGCTCAGCCGGCGCCCGGTGTTCAAGGTCCTCTGGCTGCTGCCCGTGGTGTTGGCCATGTTCAATCTCTTCCTTTGCTACCTGTACCAGTTCCCGATCGTGCAGGAGTGGGCCCAGGAGGTCTTCGCGCCGGAGCTCCTGCTGGACATCGGCCTGCATGCCAAGCTCTCGGCCGAGCTGTTCCTCTACCTGCTTCACCATCTGGCCATCCTGCTGTTGACCATGTCCCAGGTGGCCATGTATGTGTCCAGTGGCGGGCTCTTCCGCACGGGCGACCAGTCGACCGTCTTCAAGGAGGCCACGGCCGGCGCCGGGTCGGCCACGCCCGGATCTGCCGGCACCTCGCCCGGGCTCGGGCCGCTGCCGGATGTCGATGCCTCTCTCGCGCACGCGGTGGCGGCCGGCACGCCCGGGCAATTTGTCGGGTACGCCTCGGCCGGGCGGTATGGAGTGAGCTCCTCGCGCGCTCGTGCGGCCACCATTGCCACGAGCCTTGGCCAGGAGTCCGGCTCCGTGGGCGGCGGCGCCGGCGGCGCCGGCAGCCTGTCCCCTGGGGTGGAGTCTGCCCATGGGTCCGGCGGTCCGGCGGCCGACGCTTCTTCCACGTCGGACTCCGGCGCCGGGGCGTCAGCCGGCTTCGGCAAGCAGTCCTCCTCCGGGGGCTCCCATCGCTTCACGTACTACCTGCTGTCGTCGGTGCGCATTCTGCAGCGCATCTTCACGCAGGTGTCCCCGCGGTTGATTGCCCTGATGTTGTTCTTCTCCACCACGGCGCCCAACCTGTCGCAGCTGTCGGTGCTGGACTTCATCACCCTGGCCCTGGCGTTGGTGTTCGCCGTCAGCCGGCGCTGGCAGCGCTTCTTCCGCTTCCCGGCCTTCATCTACCTGTCGTTGTTGGTCCTGTCGCGCATGCTCTTCCAGCTGCGCTCGGTTCAGGGCGACCTGCCGGCCGACATGTCTCTCATCGAGTATGTGGGCTTCCGGACCCTGCCGCCTCCGGGGCAGGATGGTCCGCTGGCGGATGCGGCCCCGGCCCGGTTCATGATTTGCGAGATCCTCGGCATGCTGCTGATTGTCTTTGCCCCGGTGGCCGACAAGTGGCGCAAGCGCTTCGCCTATGCCGACTGGAAGGATCGCCGCGCGGCCCGGGCCCTCTTTGTCTACACGCGCATTCTGCACATGCCCGGCATGACCGGGCCCCGGGCGCGGCAGGTGTTCGCCTCCCTGCATGCCACCCTCAACCGGTCGCGCTTCAAGTACAACCCCGACATGGAGATTGCCCTGCTGCCGGTTCCCCGGGCCGGGCTCTACTTCCCGGACTTCCGCGAACTGGCCGATTTGGTGGACAGCGCGGTGACCGCCGACTCGGGGTCCAAGTCCGCCGGCAAGTCTGGCATGAGCCTCGACTCTCCATCGGCCGATGCGACCGCCTCGGTGGCGATGGCAGCGATGACCGCCCTCCCGGCGGACCTGCTGCCGGCCCTGCACGAGGCGGAGCATGACCCGGACTTGCTGGCCGACGAGTTGGACCAATCTCTGTCAACCATCGGCGCGGGATCCCCCAATGTCCCGGGGCTGGATGTGGGCATGGCCCCGAGCAGCATGGCCACCGGCAAGCCGGCCCCCCGGGCCAGCCCCGATGCCGAGGATGCCCTTCCCTCGCGCACCTGGCCGCTGGTGGCCTCGCGGCTGTTGAGCTTCCTGGCCTGGCCCTTCGCGCACTTTGGCTTTGAGCTGACCCTGATCCTGCATCTGGTGGCGGCCCTCGTGCACCTGAACCTCATCGGGCTCATCTACCTGACCATCCTCGGTGTGCATCTGATTGTGGGCAGCGGGTCGCTGCGACGCGGTGGCCGGGCCCGGCGCTGGGCCTGGACCCTGCTGCGCCTGGTGACCGTGATCCTGATCGCCTGGCAGTACTTTGTGGCCCTCGGCCCGGCGCCTGACTGGCCTGCCTTCCCGTGGGAGTCCCTGGATGAGGGGCTGCGCTTTGCCCTGGGCCTGGCCCCGGAGAAGGTGGGCGTGCGGCTTCTGTCGGCGGACTTCCTCCTCCTCCTGTGCGCGGGGATTGTGTCCGGCGTGTTGCGCCGGTATGCCGAGCAGGACCGCTTCGAGCAGGACATCCAGGAAGCCGCGGCCCGGGTGAGTACCTCGCCGCGTGTTGGGCCGCTGGATGGCAAGATGGCCGCCTCGGAGGACACCGCCCCGGTGTCGGTCAACTCGCCGTACACCGATGCCGGGGACATGTCCCCGGAGATGGCTGTCGACCTGGCCGGGGAGGGTGACCCCTCGCAGCCGCTTCTGCTGACGGCCGACCAGGCGGCCGCCTTGGCGACCGCGGCTCGGGAGCACCATGTCCCGGGCCCGGCACAGCCAACCGGCTGGATTGGTCAGTCGCTGGCGGCTGTGGGCATGCCGGAGTCCTGGCTGCGTGGTGCCGGGCTTGTGGCCCCGGCCGGGGCCAGCACCGACCCGGCCAACATGGTCTACCTGGAGGACTTCTACGACTACGATGACTATCACGACTCGTCGGACCAGAATATGCTGCTCCTGTCGCTGGATTTGCCCCTGGGTGCGGACATGTCGCACCCGTGCTCGGTGGAGGACGACTTCACCGTCACCCCGCGGACCATCTTCAATGAGATGCGCCTGCTGGCGTACCGGTACTTCTACCGGCTGGTCATCATCTTGACCTTCACGTGTGGCACGTCCGTGGTCAGCCTGCTGTCCTTCATCTATCTGGTTTTCTCCCTGTACTTCCTGTCCATCGGGGAGAATGTCATCAAGAATGAGGCCCTCCGGCGCCGGGCGTGGCGCTATTACCGGCTGTATAATTACTTCTGGTTCTTCGTGCTGATCGCCTGCCAGCTGCCGGCCTACATCGTGGAGCTGCCGGCCAACATCCAAAACATCATGTCCATCATCGGCTTCTCCAAGCTGACCCTCAACCCGATGGATGTGACCCCTCCCCCGGGGGAGGGCAGCCTGGCCGGGTTGCTGACCAGCACCCTGCTGGGTGGGCTGCTTCCGGCCAGCTCGGAGCAAGTGAGCCTGGCCTTCTCCAATGCGCGCATTCTCAACCTCTTTGTCTTCCTGGCCATGCTCATCCAGCAGATGATCTTCGATTCCACGCGCTTCGAATTCCTCCGCGCCTATCTGGTCAAGGAGGATCTGCAAGCCGTCGAGCAGCAGGTCCGGTACCAGGAGAAGCAGCGCGCCGACCGGGAGCGCCGGAACAAGGAGATCAACGACAACTTCGCGCGCTCCGAGAAGAAGTACCAGTCCATGTCGAAGAAGTTCTACGCTCGCTGGGCTGGTGTCACCTTCCGTGGCCGGCGTGACCTGCCGGAGCTGACCATCGAGCAGACGGCCGCCAGTGGCGATCCGTCGGTCTTCTTTGCCTCGGAGTCGCTTTTGGACTTGTCAGCCTCGACCACGAATACCGGCACCGGCACCGGCACCGCCGCCGCCACCCCGGGCGCCGGGACCTCCAGCAGCATGACCTTCCCCGGGTCCCCGGGGCTGGAGCATGTGTCGCAGTCGCACGCTCGACACATGGCCAGTGCGGCGTTGCTGGATGGGCCGCCCTCGCCGAGTGTCAGTGCCGTGGGGCTGGACGCCGGCACCGGGGGGGATCCCCTCCCCGCCGGGGCGGTTCAGGCCGATGTGTCGCTGATGTTCGAGTCGGAAACCGGTCGTGTGATCCATCCCCCCAGCAGCGAGGCCGGGGAGCCCGGCTCATCCGCCCTGCCGGCTGGGGGGGCTGCCTCCTCGGCGAATGACCTGTCCCAGGCCCTGGCCGAGGCTGGCCTGCCGCATCCGACCGCGCAGCAGCCCTGGTACAACCGGGCCATGGATGCCCTGATTTTCCTGCTGTATGCCGGTTGCGCGGATTACTGCGAGCTGGAGCAGCTGCCGACCGTGGCCAGCCTGCGGGTGGAGCTGCAGAAGACCCGATCGGTGGCCACCCGGGTGTGGCTCATCCTCCAGGGGGTGACCCTGTGCCTGGTGGCGCATGTGCATCTGCTGGTGTACTTCTTCATCTTCCTCAACCAGGTGCTCAATGCGTCCATCCTGTCCACCATCCCGGCGGTGGTGGTCCTGCTGTTTGGCGTCCATGTGCCAGCTCTGTCGCCCATTCGCCCGCAGCACATTTGGCGCTTCATCATCTACTACACGGAGGCGGTCATCCTGGCCAAGTACATCGCCCAATTCCCGATGGGCTGGGACATCAATGTTGTGGACTGCGAGGCTGCGGCCCTGCCGGATGACTTCCAGTACCCGTGGTTTGTTGTGCTGGGCCTGCAGAAGTACTGTTCGTCGCTCTTCTCGCCGCACATCATCAGCGAGCTGGCCATCCTGGTGTTTTCCTTCTCCCAGCGCAGCGTCATGCAGCGCGTCGGCCTGTGGGACACGCACACGGCCGCCTCGGCCAGCAGCCATGATGCCATGGCCATGGAGTTGCGCGCCGCGCGCGCCCTGGCCAAGGCCGACCCCGGCACCTTCGACGATTCGGAGGGCGAAGATTCGGATGACGAGCATGGCCCCGATCGGCAGCATGGGCATCACTACCACCATGGCGCGGGCATGGGCTCCCCGGACCTGGAGAGCTCCTTCGGCCTGTATCATCCTCCGGTTCACGCCCCGGGCTCCGGTCCGGTGACTGGCGTGCTGCTGCCGGAGCTCCTGGCAGCTGATGGTGCTGGTATGTCGCTTTCGCGGGCGGTGCCGCCAGCCCCGGCGTCCGACGCGACCGGCCTCTCGGTTTCGCTGAACTCCCTGTCCACCGACTATCAGGAGGTGGATGTGGATTTCAGCCCGGGCATTGCCGGTGCGTCGCTTTGTGTGGCGCCCTTCCATGTGGAAGGGGCCGAGGGCTGGGCCTTAGAGCCTCTGCTCTCGCTCCTCTTTCTCTCTCTGTTTCTCTTCTTCTTCCTTTCTGTGTCTCTCCTTGCCCCGGCTGCCTCCTCCCTTCTTCCTCTGTCTTCTCCTTTCCCATTCTTACCATCGTCCTTTGTCTTCCCCCCCCCCCCCCCCCCCCCCC